TTTGGAAAGAACGCATGACAAGCTAGGGTATACGGTTTTCGGCTGCCATGTGGCTATTTCGCCAGGATATGAGTTTTATCCATGGTGTCCCGCTTTACCGATGTTAAAGTCTGGTCACCTTAACATAGGGGCGGCCACAAGTCGGAGTCCCCTCTGCCCCACGGTAACAGGTAACAGCTCGTCCCACATGTCAGGTGAGGGAGGTAGGCAGCAGCTCTGGAAGGGAGCATGTTCCAGCACAGGACTGGGGGCCGTGCCCGGAGGGCAGGGCAGGTCCTGGTGTCCGGCGGGTTCCTGCCTCACTCTCCAGCAGGGCATGTCTCTGGCTGCTCAGAGCAACTTGCTTTCAACTTTAAGGCAAAGTGTGGGGGCGGGCGGGGGGTGTGGCACATACTGGGGGAGGGGGCCCCCCTTGTCTCCTGAGAGACGGAGCAGCCTCTGTTGGAAGGCGGTGGGCAGCTCCTCCCCAAGATGCCACGAGGATTGTGATGGGACCCTGTGCCTCCTGCAGCCTTGACCTCCAGGACAACACTGGGCGCTTGGTCTGCTGGAACTTCTGGGGACCCTGATGAGCGGTGCCTCCCGGCACTTGGGCTTGGACCGGCCTCTGGTTGACCCCAGCCCTTTCCCCCTTGTCCCACCGCAGTGACCACACAGTGGAGACCAACGCCATCTTACAGCTGGACCCCGCCGTGCCTGGCGTCTACTCCGGGAACCCGTACCCATTCGGGATCGATCCGGTAAGAGATGCCTTTCGGCTCACACCTTAACTGCACAGGTTTGTCCATCTGTCTGTCTCCCCGGGGGCATTTATCTAGCGTCTGTTAGGGGATGTCGAAATGGTACCCTAGAAAAAAGGACTCAGAGACAAGCCTGGGTCTGCGGGGTCTGACTGGGGCGGGCAGGCTTGGCGAGCCACCGGACGGCTTTGCTCCGCTGAACATCCACCTGGTGGATGGGGACGGAACGCACCTTTGTTTCCCCTGGCTTTCTTTCGGGGACCTCTCACGCAGCCCACGGCTCAGGAGGAGCGTCTTGTTCACACCCAGGAAGGAGGCTATAACCTTCTACAAGAGCCCAGGTGGCGCTGGGCTGCTAACTGCGAGGCCAGCGGTTCGAGACCACCACCGCTCCCAGGGAGAGGGCTTTCTACTCCTGTCCACAGTTACAGTCTTGGACACTCACAGGGGCAGTTCTGCCCTGTCCCTGGGGTCGCTGTGAGTTGGCATCCACTTGATGGCACAGCGTCACAATGACGACAGGTGTCTTGTTTGGGGACCTCGGGGCAGAGAGAGAAAGTGTCAGAACCTATCGAGTCAGGCGCGAAGGAGGCAGAGGGAAAGACGTTGCTGCGTTGGCGACACATGCGATGATGCTCACTGCCATCGAGTCCGTGCGGGCTCCCAGCGGACCCTGCGGGTTTCTGAGGCTGTCACTGTGATGGGGGTAGAAAGCCCTGTCTTTCTCCCAAGGAGCTGCTGGTGGAGTCAAACTGCCGACCATGCGGATCGCAGCTCAGCGCTTAACCACTGCACCACCAAGGCTCCCACACACGCAATAGGTTCATGTAAAGGCCCCCTGCACACAGCCCCAGCTCGCTGCCCTCACCGTTCCCCCACCAGTGGTTCTCAACCCTTTTGGGGGGTCAAATGACCCTTTCACAGGGGTCGCCCGATTCATAACAGTAGCAAAATGACAGTGATGAAGTAGCGACAAAAATAATTTTATGGGTGCTGGGCGGTCACCGCAACATGAGGAAAGGGTCGCAGCATTAGGAAGGTTGAGAACCACTGGCCTAGACCCTGAGAGGTCAATAATCCCCCCTGTGCCTGGCCAGTGTGCATAGTCAAAGCCACTTAGCACCCCAACTCAGCTCTTTTCTTTGGGGCTGTCATGTCGTGGGTACCATACTTGTATCTCCCTTTATCTTCTTTCTCTTTAACACTTTTTTTGGGGGGGGATTTGGTGGAGGTTTACAGAACAGCATTCAACCATCACACCCGTTTCGTTTTGTGTCCTTGGTGGCCATTGCCACCACCTGACCACCTTCACCCCGCTTCCTTCCTGTGGCTCCCATTTCCATGCCTCCTGCTTCCCCAACCTCCTGCCTTCGGACCGTCTGTCAGTGGCGAAGGCTGCTCTTCTGGTCTCTGTTGATTGTTCTCAGGTGAGGGTACTTCTCTAGGGTCCCTGCTCCCCTGTGATTGTTATGTGCCATCAGTCAATTCTGACTCACGGCGATGACAGAACAGGGCACCACTGGGTCCTGCGCCTTCCTCACGATTGTTACGTCTGAGCTGCTATGGCAACCCCTGTGTCCATCCGCCTCATCCAGGAGCCTTGATGGCATAGTGGGGACCAGGTGGGCTGTTAACCACAAGGTGAGCGGTTCGTAGCCAGCAGCCCTCCTCTGGGAGAAAGAAGAAGCTTTCTACTCCCCAAAAGAGCTGCCGTCTCAGAAACCCACAAGGGGCAGTTCTACCCTGTCCTGTAGGACTGCTACAAGTCAGAATGGATTTGACGGTAGTGAGCTTGGTTTTCTGTTCGGGCTGTGAACCTCAAGGTCAGCAGTTTGAAAACACCCGGGAGAAAGAGGAGGCTTTCAGCTTCTGTCAAAGAAACCCACAGGAGTGGATCCACCCTGTCCAGTAGGAGCACGGTGAGTCAGAATGGACTCGAGACAGTGAGATGGTTTGGCTGAAAATGGGAGTAAGGAGGTGAGTTTGGGTCAAGGTCAGAAGGGTAGTGAGGGGCCAGTGTTGCAGGACGGTCCCCAGTCATCTGACCGGGAGGCTGGTCTTCTAAAAGCATCTCATTGTGAGTGAGGTGAGGGTTGCAGAGCACAGTGCCAAACTCCCCTCAGCCATTCACACACAGTGTTTCCACTCACCCACCCCTCACCTTCCTGCTGCTCATCCTCTGCTTCCTGTTTTCCAAACCTCTTTCTTTCTTTTTCTTTTTAAAAATCATTTTATTGGGGGCTCATACAGCTCTTATAATCCATCCATCCATCCATCCATTGTGTCAAGCACATTTGTGTATTTGTTGCCATCATCATTTTTAAAACATTTTCTTTCTACTGAGCCCTTGGTATCAGCTTCTCATTTTCCCCCCTCCCTCTCTCCCACTCTCTCTCACGAACCCTTGATAACTTGTAAATTGTTATTATTTTTTTATGTCTTACACTGTCTGACATCTCCCTTCATCCACTTTTCTGTTGTCCGTCCCTCTGGGAGGGGGTTATACGTAGATCCTTGTGATCGGTTTCCCCTTTCTCCCCCGACCTTACCCCTACCCTCCTGGTATTGCTACTTCCATTATTGGTCCCGAGGGGTTGATCTGCCCTGAATTTCCTGCCCCCTCTTCCTTTTAACCCTCTGAATTGTGTCCTTGGGAAAATGCTAGCTACCCCTTTGACCTTGAAAGGCAGATCATCTGTAGGGCGTCTGTAAATCTTTACAGAGTTCTCCTGTGGACCTGTGAGCTAGACAGAGGTGGGCAGAAAGAGAAGAGGTGATTGTGGCAGGAATTGGACAGGAATTTTAACACCAAGGAGAGGTGGAGTCCTGTCCCTTCCCACTCCTAGGCCCCCCGCCTACTCTCCACAAAAGGAGGTGGGGGGCAGACCAGACGCATTTCCTTATCGCCAGAAGAGATGGGGAAAGTGAAAAGACTGGGTGGGGAGAGACAGGAGGTTCACAAGACCCCACAAGAGCTGAAGAGACTCGGGGTTTGGGCCTGGAGTCCAGGGCACAGCATGAAGGCTGGGCTGCAGGGGGGCCCCTACCTGGAAGGAGGAGGTGTGCTGCAGAGAGCCAGCCAATCGTAGAAGACCTGCCAGAAAGTCAGTCAATGGTGGGAAGCCCGTCTGTGAACAGACTAAAGGCTCGACTCTCCATTCGACCTGGCCTTTTAGGGCAGTTAAGAATGAAACCAAACTCCCCCCATTGAGTCGATGCCACTTCGTAAGCACCTCTGTAGGGTGGGGTGGGACGCCCCTGCAGCAGTCCCGGTAGCATCGTCCACACGGCCGGCAGTTCGAAACCACCAGCAGCTCTTTGGGAGAAAAGTTTGACTTTCTACTATGAACAGCTACAGTCTGGGAGACCCCCAGGGGTCGCCGAGAGTCGGCCTTGACTCAGGGCAGGCATCTGAGTTGAAAGAGCTGCAGTTTCAGAAACTCACGGGGGCAGTTCTACCCTGATCCGTGGGGTCGCTGTGTGCCGGCATCCGCAGGGTTTCCATTCACCAGAGACGTGATGTTGAGCACGCCACTTTCTCCGTGCCTCTGTTCTTGCCTGTAAGACGGGCACGCCACAGCCCTAGGTCATGGGGTGGCTCGGACCGTGAACATGGGACACAGAGAGCAGCACGTGGTGGGGAGCGTGGGGATGCTCTGGGAGTGGGATGTGCTGCAGCCCAGCTAGTTTCCACTAGCCACCGGGTCCCTCTGTCTCCTTTTTTAAAATCATTTTTACTGGTGGCTCTTACAGCTCTTATCACATTCCATACATCAATTGTATCCAGCATATTTGTACAAATGTTACCATCATCATTTCCAAAACATTTTCTCCTTGAGCCCTTGGTATCAGCTCCTCTTTTTCCCCCTCCCTTGCCAACCCTCCCACCCTCATGAATCCTTTATCAATTATATTTTGTTATTATTATTTCATATCTTACACTGTCCGTTGTCTCCCTTCACCCACATGTCTGTTATTTGTCCGGGGGGGGGGGGGGCTATATATCCAACCTTGTGATGGGTTCCCCCTCTCTCCCCCTTCCCCCTCCTGATTGCATGACCCAAGCGCATGAGACGGAGTTTCGCCGCCCGCTTTCTAAGAAGCGCTCTGACTGCCCACCAGTCAGAGAAACGAGGGGAGGAGGGATCTATCTCACCTTCCGTTCTGAACAGGACGGAAATCACCGGGGGTCTTCTCCCGTTCCTTCCCGCGCAAAGGAAGCGTCTGCCCCTCTCACGGAACTTTGTGGTGAAAACTTGGGGCGTGGGAACCTGCCACAGAGGGGTCTGACCTTTGTGCCCTACACGACTTCTGGGGGGTGGGGGAGCACGGCCCCTTCCCTTTCTGAGTCTGCAGGGTGGGCAGGATGAGATGGCCGGTGCCGTGGCAGACCCGCCCTGCTTTCCCCCCAGATCTGGAACGTGGCCCCCAACAAGCTGACCTTCTTGAACTCCTATAAGATGAAGATGTCGGTGGTCCTGGGAATCGCCCAGATGGTGTTCGGCGTGATACTGAGCCTCTTCAATCACATGTAAGCCCTGGAGCCCCACTTGGTGCGTTGGGTCAAACCAGGGAGAGTTTCCCCGACAGAGAGCATCCCTGGGGTCTTGGCGGAGGCAGGGCAAGCAGATCTGCCTGGAGGGGCAGCACATCTTCTAAGCTGAGCCCCTCAAAGACAAACACACCACCCCAACCCAGAACTACTTGGCCCCTCAGTCTGAAGGGCTTGGGTGTGGCTGTGTCCACCCACCCACCAGTCCGGTGGGTGAGTTCTGGCCCCGGTTCCCTCAGGGTCCCATTGGTGTCATTTCTTCTGTCTGGCAGCTCCCTCCTCCCGCCTTCTCTGGTTGCGGGTGGGGTCCCGGCCAAGCACCCCTTCTTTTCCTTCCTCTGAGATCCGTCCTCCCCGAGCTGCTCCAGCGTGCTCCCACAGAGGGAGCGTGATGGGGTCTCAAGCCCCCTGGGAAAAAGACACAGAAAGATCATGGGGTTCCCCCGTGAATGTGCTGGAACCCCTGGCACAGGCTGACAGCCTTTCCGCATGTGCCCTTTGGGGAGGTGCCTCCTGTGGGTGGGAGGAGCTTTGGTGGTGCAGAGGGGTAAGCACGGGCCCGCTGACCACCAGGTTGGCTGTTCAAACTCACCAGTGGCTCCGCGGGAGAGAAGCCGAGGCGTTCTGCCCCCGCGCAGCCCCGCAGCCTCTGAGACACCAGGAGCAGTTCTACTCTGTCCCCAGAGGGGCGCCGGAATGGCAATGGGCTGGACGGTGTGGATGTGGGCTTTGTGGGCCTGACGGCTGACTCTGTAGGTCGTATAGACCTGCCCGCCCCACCCCTGTTGGGGTTACAGGAATGATGCAGAATTCGGAGCCAGAAGTTCAAGCCCGGCCCCGGCCCAGACATCTCCAAGTTGGTTTTCTTCTGGGGCGTGGGCATGCAGCCATCAGAATGGGTGAGGCTCCTATGCAGTAACAGACAGCCCTCAGTCAGGTGGTGCCTCGTGCCCACCCTGGCCCATCGGGCCCTGCTCCTGCCTCCCTCACCTGGAGGGCATGGCAGAAGGGAGACTCCCTTAGTCCCATGTTAAAAGATTGTCGAAAACGCACAGGCGACATCACGCAACAAAACCCGAACCAGCAACCAAGCGTGGAAAGCAAACTCCCCGCCGGCGAGCCAGAGCTCCTACTCCCAACACCAAGAACCCCCCACGGCTCTCCCATGTGGCTCTCCGCCCATCTGTAGAGGGGAAACCCTGCTTGCCGCAGGTGCACGACCTGGCCCCCGGGCCACAGCTTGCCTGCTGGTCCCACCGTGGAGCAGTTGCTACGTCCAGCAGTGTCCTTCGGCCCTTAGACTTGCTTGTGAGCCACCTCTGCAGGCCGTGCTCAGCGACCCGGCTCTCACTCTCAGGGTGGGCTTGGTGCCTCCCTCTGGACCCCGGCTCTCTCTCTGCTGTGTGAGCTCACCCTGCTTGCAGGGCAGGGGACGCAGTGTCCACCAAAGTGAGCGAGCGTTTTGTGCTTTGGGAACGTTATCCGCTGGCTGCGATTCTCCCTCGCAGGCCTCGTAGGCAAAGGGCAATCACACAGCTGCTCGGCGAAAAGAGGTCCAGCCGAGTCTCCCCTCAAGCAGTGGTTCTCAACCTTTCTCATGCTGCGACCCTTTCATACAGTGCACCATGTGGTGGTGACCCCTTAACCCTCAAATTATTTTCATTGCTACTTAATCACTGTAATTTTGCTACTGTTATGAATTGTCATGTAAATATGCGATAGGCAGGATGTATCAGGTGACCCCTGTGAAAGGGTCATTTGCCCCCCCACCCCAAAGGGGGCACGACCCAAAGGTTGAGAACCACTGCCCTCGCAGCACCTCCGAAGAAATGTCAGGTGTTCTAGTGGGAACATACCCCAGCCTGAGGGAGCACAGTCTCACACACGCGCACGCACGCACACTGTTGTCTCCGAGCCACCTGGCTTTTCTTTCTTTCTTTTTTTTCTTTTGTAAAAGGCAAAAGATTTATACGATTTGAAGAGAAACCAGAGTACAAACCAGCTGGCTTTTCACATGTCCTTTAGTGACCCGTAAGGGAGCCCTGGGGAGTCGTGGTTACACATTGGACCGATAAAGGCATGTTCAGCACTTCCAGGTCACCGAGGAGAACGCTGAGGCTTTTCTACTCCCGTGACGAGTCACGCTCTCGGAAACTCCCAGGGTCTGCTCTACCCTGTCCTGTACAGTCGCGCCAAATCGGCACGGACTCTAGGGCAGTGAGTCTGGGCCTCCTGTTGGTTAGTGACCTGGTGTGTGTGTGTGTCCCACCCCCAGATACTTCCGAAGAACCATCAACATCGCTCTGCAGTTTGTCCCCGAGATGGTCTTCATCCTGTGTCTCTTCGGGTACCTGGTTTTCATGGTCATTTTCAAATGGTGCCACTACGATGTGCACTCGTCCCAGCGCGCCCCGAGCATCCTCATCCATTTCATCAACATGTTCCTGTTCAACTACGACGACCCGTCCAGCCGCCCGCTGTACCGGCACCAGGTACGCCGTCTTTCCTCTCGGGGCCCACTCGACCTCGGAGGGACGTGGGGGCCGTCTGTAAGGCAGGCCGTCTTGGCACCAGCCCGGGGTCCTCTTGGAGGACTGCACCTTGTCCGGGGCAGCAATTGTGGAGCGTGGCCCCTGAGGGGCCCCGGGTGGACATCAACTTGTGTGCTGGCTGAGCTGAAAGTCAAAAGCAGAATGCTGGCAGTTGATTGGCTCGATGCTGGGAAGGGTGCCGTGGAGCCGGTCCCTGCTCCCGGCGTGAGTCAGAGTCGAACGGCCAGGGCTTTCGAGTTCTCAGAACTGGATCCCCATGCCTTTCCTCCATGGCACCTCGGGGGGCCCACCTTTTCAGTGAGCTGTCAAGCATGTTTGGTCTCAGCTCCTGTGAGACAGATCACCTGGGAGGAGAATGGTAGGTGAGGCCCCCAGGGAGGGAGTCCGGTTCTTCAGTGTGAGAATCTGGGCCGACTAGAGAAACAAATCCAGGGACACTCAGCTATAGCTAAGCGAGAACTTCACATCTAGAAGTAATGATGCATCAATAAAACATCCCAGCCCAGTCCAGATCAAGCCCATACATCCGATAGTAGCCCATGCATTCCTCTTCAGACCCAGGCAGCATACACAATGATGCCAACTGCAGGAAGATCACCAGCCGTGGGTGGAAAGTCCTGTGGGTCCAATGGCAGTGGACCTATATCCAGGGCTCTGGCTGCCATCAGCATGGCTCCATGTGGCTTGTCAACAGGAAAGGGAAGCAGAGAGTGTGGCCCACCCCCAGGAAGGAGGAAAATAAACTCCTTGAATCCTCATGAGAAGGCCGCGCCCATGAGGAGGCATCAGTCAGGCTGCGACCTTATTGACAGGCTGACTCCACCCCTATTTATCAAGCTGACATGAGATGATGTAACTACCACATTCAGGGTGGGCGTCCTACACCGTCAGACAGTTCACCTGAGAGGAGAATGGTGGGTGAGAGCCCCAGGGAGGGAGAGTTTGCCTTCCTCAGGGTGGGTGACCACACTCCCGCTGGAGCACAGGTGTCAGGCTGAGATGGGGACCAGCAGTGATGAGGGAGGAGAGGGCACAGGAGAACCTCATGCTGGCCACATGCCATTACAGTGGCAACCAGACTGTGTCCTGGAGGGTAGTCTCTGGAGCCGCAGGGCCAGGGACAACAGCCCAGGAAGCAGGTGCACAGCAACAAGGGACGCTGTGTGTTAAAGGAACTCGAAGGGCTGCTCACCCCAAGGCCGGCGGTTCAAACCCACCAGCCGCTCCTTGAGGGAAAGCGGAGGCTGCCTGCTTCTTAAAGAGTTACAGTCTCAGAAACCCTCTGGGAGCAGTTCTAGCCTATCCTGTGGGGCCACTCTGAGTCGGTGGTCTCGACGGCAGTGGGTTTGGTTTGGGGTAAGATGTATCTCCTGAGTTTTCTTGCTCTGAGGACCTGACTGCACATGGTGTAGTCTCCATGACCGGGCTTCTATAGAGAGGGATACAGAGTGAGGGTCCAGGGCCCCTTGTCCTGGACACCGGGCCCCTCGGTCTGCAGAGGTGAGGGTGAGCGGGCTATTGGCATGCTTTCTGGATGAGGTATGACGGGCCATGCTCATCCTGTCTCTCGGGCATTGACATGATGGTCTCGTGCCTTCTGGTCTTGCAGAGAGAAGTCCAGAGCTTCTTGGTGGTCCTGGCTCTGATTTCTGTGCCCTGGATGCTCCTGATTAAGCCCTTCATCCTTCGAGCCCGCCACCGCAGAGCCCAGGTGAGGGAAGGGGGTCTGATTCCTGAAACCTGTGGGGCTGGTCTGTCTGTCAACGGGAGGCCGGCTACCAGGAGTCGGAATCAGCCACACTCAACAGTAATGGATGTGGGGGATCCGAAGTCCCCTGCCTAGTGGAAATGGAGCGCATCTTACCCAAGCTCCTTTTCTAAACGAACACTGAGCCTGCTATAGCTCCACTGTCCCCAGCTTGGGGGGCTTGATCGACTCTCGCCACAGACGGAGTGCCGCCCTGAGCGACCGACCCCATATGGCCAGTTCTCCCGTGGCCCCGGCCATGGTTTCTCTGCGGTCAAATGTGTCTGTCCACTCGTGCCTTTTGTTTAAACGGCTCTGGAGATCATGAGCTTTAACATCTCCCTCCACTGGCTGGGATTTAGGGAACTTAACTTTCCCCGAGGGGCCTGTGGTGCAGTGGACAGGTCAGTGATTCAAGCTTGCCCCTTTCTCAGAGGGGAAAAGAGGTGGCTGCTTCCAGAAAGACCACAGCCTTGGGGAACCCCCCGGGAGCAGTTTATTTCTGTCCTCCAGGGACCTCACTACAGCCTTCCCTGATCAGAGGGGAAAAAAAATTCACTGGCATGAGGTTGATGCTGACTCATAGCAACCCTATAAGACAGGGTCAGACTGGCCCCTGCGGATTTCTGAGACTGTCCCTCTTGATGGGAGTCGAACTAACTGCCCTCGTGGGTTTCTGAGACTTTAACTCTTTACAGGAGTTGAAAGCCTCATCTTTCTCCTACAGAGTGGCTGGTGGATTTGAACTGTTGACCTTGCCATTAGCAGCTCAACATGGAACCACTCTGCCTCGGGGTGGGGGTGGGGGACGGGGTCTAGAGATGACACAGAGACATCCTATGGGGAGCGCCTCCTCTACTTCCTTCCATGAGCATAAACGTTGTGGAAAGTGCTGAGATCTGGTCTCCCAAAGGTAGTCCCTTAGTGTCTGCAAATTAAACCATCTTCTTCTAAAATCTGTGCTGGAGATTGATGAGGACAATGGTGGAAGGGGCAGGACCCACACGTGGTCAGACTGAAGTTCTGGAGGCCCGGCCCTAGGTGGTGCCCCCTTTCTCGTTTGCTACCTCCTCCTTTCCCCTGTCTTAACTTCCAGCCAGCCCTGATTGTTAGACAGCCTTTCTGATCTGTAACTGATGTGGGATGGAAATGAACAGGAAATTCAAGCGAAGAATAGGTGCTTCTTGTTTGCAGCACTGATAAGAAGCTAAAATGGTAAAGGGTCCTTAGGTAGAGTATTGCCCAAACAGGTATTTCAAAAGAAGGTAGCAAATACTTTTGTGTAGAAGTAGGTGCACTTCTCTTTCTTAGGAACTCAGTCTGCCCAAAGATGAGGATCCCCTAAGCCCAGGACTCTCAAATACTAGCTTGCTTGCTTTCTTTAAAGTTTCATTGACATATAATTCACATTACATACAATTCAATCGTTCAATCATATTAAAAAGTGTTGTGCAATCGTCACTGCAATCATTTTAGAACAGTCTCTACTTTCGTGTATTCATTATTGGCTCCCCATTTCCCCTTCCCACCAAACTCCCCCTGCCTTACCCTCCCACAACCCAAACCAAACTCGCTACCCTGGAAGCTACCCTACAGAACAGGGTAGAACTGCTCTTGTGGGTTTCCAAGATTGTAACTCTTTATAGGAGTAGAAAGCCTCATCTTTCTCCCGAGGAGCTGCTGGTGGTTTTGAACTGCCAACCTTACCGTTTGCAGTCCAATGTGTAAGCACTACACCACCAGGGCGCCCTAAGAAACTATTGATCCAGTAAGTGATTGACCACAGATTTACCCATCCTGGGTTTCATATACAGAAAAACTTACTGAGATAGTTTATTGTGCCAGCCTGGCCGATAAACACAAGTGGGATTAACTGAAGGGCAGAGAGATAAATGGCTTGGT